GACTCTGAGTCCTACCACAACAGTCCATGCAGTGCAGGGCACGTGGTGGGGAGCAGTGTGTTGGAGGGGGAGGCCCTGGGACCACCACTGCCTCCCAAGCACGTATATCCTTAGCACATGTGGGAAAGTCCAGTGGGGCTCTCCTGCTCCCCACAACAGTAAGGACTCTGGGCCAATAATGTGTGGAGCCAGAAGCTAGGCAGTAACCCACTGCTTCCCTGTGCGGAGGTATGCTGGTCTTGAAGCAGCACCACTGTGCAGCCTGGCCACTCCTCCCTTAGTCCTCTCTCTCCCCACTCTGATTCTTTTTCTACTCAACTACTCACAATCAACACAGAGCTCATCTGACACAGATGTGTGGGGTTTTCCCCCACAAACCAAGCAAGCCATCGATTCTGCAGTGGACACCAGCTAGGTGGCCTCCCATTCCATTCTGACACTCTAGCTTGGGAGATCACATGCTGAGGACTGAGTCCATCAGGTCCCTGACACTAACCAGCAGCTCCAGTCTGTCTCACCTGCGCTTCTGACTCACCGACTGCACACTGCGGTTACCACGAGCACCTCTTTGGGTTCTATTAGTTTGCTACAGAGCAGCTTACAGAACTCAGGGGAACACATTTACTGGTTTGCTATGAAGGACACAGATCAGGAGAGGCAGAGGGCAAGGTGTGGGGACAGCACTGGGCCTTCCCTGGTGTGCCAGCCTCCAGGGTCCCAGGGTTTGGAAACTCCCAAATCCTGGCCTTTTAAGTTTTTATGGAAGCTTCATTGTATAGGCATGGTGGATTAAAACTCCAGCCATTGGTGATCAATTTCCGCCCCTCTCCAGAGGCTAGGGGTGGGGCTGAAAGCACCAAGCTTCTAACCTGCCTTGGTCTTTCTAGGGACCAGACCCCCTCCTACAGCTCCGGTGGAGGCCAGATCTTAATGATTAGCATATAAAAGTGCTATTAGCATATAAAAGTGCCCCTTTTCACTGAGGGCCCAAGGACTGACTGTAGGAGTTGTAAGCCAGGAACAGGCCAGAGAACAAATACCTCCCCTGCTAAGAAGGGGAGTTCCTGTATCTCCCAGAATCTCTAGAAGACCTGGAGGTGTCCAGGAAAGGAGACCTCCTTGACCATCTTCCCATACAGGCCAGGAGACAAAACCCCACTAATTCAGGCATGGGGCCACCTTTCCCACATTTCCCAGTAAATGGAGTATTTTTAATTTACTTGAAAAAGAATAGGACCAATATTTTCCTCTCTGGCACATCTGTTGGTCACTAGCATGGGACTCACTGTTCTCAGCCTTTTCTGTGCGTTTGCCTAGCTGCCTGATGCACACCAAATGCAGATGCACACAACTTCGAAGGAGCCTTTTAAATTGTCGTTATTTCTAGGTAATTTTCACTTGCAGAAAAACTGCAAAGAGAGCACAGGTTTCCTGCATCCCCTCCACCCAACCAGATGACATGTTCACATCTCACTTAACTTCGGAGCATTCCACCTCAGACTCTTGGTTTACACAGTTTCTCTGCTACTGTCCACTTCAGGACGAACGTTGCCCTTAGCGGGTGGCTTTTATAAGAGAGCTGTGGCTTCAAAAGTAGCCTCATTCAGAGCTACAGGGAAGGTGCAGGAGCCAGGGAGCTCTAAGGAGCCAGAGACAGGGAGACATAAGCCACAGGGAGACCAGACCCACCAGATGGGCCAGCGCCAGAGCTCATGGGGGCCTAGAGTTCATGGGGGAAGCCCAGGTTGCTTTCATGACACTCACTCTGACCACATCTATAGGACTGCAGAAACCCACCAGGGTCTTTTAAGATAAGGGGCCACCTGCTTCTGTCATGGGTCATCAAAACAAAAGTCATCATCCTCCCCGCCCCCTAGAAGTCAATGAAATCAAGGACTGGAGTCCAAATTTTGTCATTAACTGAAGGAAGAGCCCATTGAAGGGGAATGACAAGAGGTCACCACCCCATAACCTGGCCTTTCCTTTCACTTCAACTAAGTACCATTTACTGGATTCCAGGAGCTTCTCAACACCTGGAAGACAAAAAACCTCCTGAGCATATTTATTTCAGGTCTCATGCTGCAGAGTCCAAATGCTCACCTGGATGAGTCTCGTCTTGGGCACCTGAGACCTGGCTTGTGCCCAGGGCCTCAGCACACTGCAGGACCTGGTAGAGCAGGCAGCACAGGCCACAGTGCTGGCTCTGACTGGCCTGCAAGTGAGGGTCACTTGAGGGCACCCACACAAGCCAAGTATAGCACTCAAAGTTCTTCAACCTTCCCTTTTAGCCCTCTTATCTATCACCTTGAGGTCACACAGCCAGGGGGCAAAGACCACTGTGCAGTCAAGGAACCCTGAGGACACCACCTCCACAACCAAGGCTTGGCTCACAAGGTGAATCAGCCCAAGCCAGTTCCAAACTACCTGCCACCTTCACTCTGAGACCAAAGCAAGAAGCATCGATAGCAATAAAGAAAAGAAGAGGCCAATTTCAGAGCATTCTCTAAAATCCTCTAATCAAAGACAAATTCTCCTTCTTAGATGCAAAGAGCAGACAGCCCCAAGCCAACTGCTACTAATGATGTCTCCATTAAAAGTCATCAAAGGCAAAAGTAGGCTTTTCCCCTCTTGAAGCTATTTTCTTTCTTCTCCCCATACCAGCAATTAGACACTTCTCTGATTTTTATTGTTCCTGCAAAATCTTTGTTTTCTGTTCAAGAACAGAAATCTTTGTTTTCTGTCTCTACTTCTAAACAGTGTCAGAGCCTACTGTCCAGTCTTTGTTCCTTGCTGGCTCTTCCTACCCACCCCTAGCATGGGATACTTATGACAAACCCCAGTACTACTTGTCATGGCCAAGTCACCCATGCCACCCAGGAAGAATTACTTTCAGAGCCTCCGGGGCTGAATATGCTTGGTGATCCATGAAAAGAGGAGGGACCTTGTGATTTTTCCTCTTCTTAGGAGTCTAGATTTTGCACCTTGGGACCAAAGCCTCAAGAATGTGGGAAAGTACTGTCCTCCCAAGTCTCCACAGGCACTCACTTGCTCCACAGCACTAGAGGCAGACATGGTTCTCAAAATCCCCATCATTCTAAGAGTCTGAGGTCTGGGGAAGGTCCACAGCGAGCAGAAGCCCCAAAGCTGCTGCCCAATTGGGAATGGTACGCAGGTATCCACCATGGAGTGACCCTGAGTTGCACAGGCAGAGCACCCAGGCCCACACTTGGCTCTGAGCTGCCTCTGGGGTTTCTGCTTCCTACTCTCCTTTGCACCATGATACTTATCCTCACAGCAGCAAAGGGAGAGTCCCTTTCCCAGGAACCAGTGTGTGGGCTTCACCCTGGTAGTCCTCCTGGTAGACAGGAAGAAAGACCTCACTCAAGAAGAAACTTGGAAGCACCCTCACTGCTGGCTTGGGAATCCAGGAGGCTCAGTGTGGAGGAGGAGTGCCTCGCTCCCATTCCATAACACTTTACAAGAGGCCAACCTGGCATTTAAGTTACTTGAGCCTCTGTTCCTCACCTGTTAAAATGGCGGACAATTACCACTATCTCAGTATTTTTCCAGGAGCTTGATTACTGATTCATACATGGGTACAACATAGCACACTCCTCAATAATATTCACCTTTCGTTATCATAGACCAGCAAGATACAATTGGTGGCTCTTTTTCCTGAGTTTACCCAACCCTGGGAAAGAGTCCTGAGACCGAAGGAAATGAGACAGATTTCTGAGTGGCAACATGAATGGGGAGAAGAGAACTTATCAGTTCATGTAGTCCAGGATTATTCACATAACACTATGAAGCCCGTGGTCAATGAGAAGCTAGTAAGTAGTCAATACACTGGAGGGCATAACAAATTGCGAGTCTTTTAAACAACACCTGAATCGTCGCTAGTAAAAATGATTAAAAATACATACCTATTTTATTCATAGATTTGGAATCTAAAGCCCAGAGAGATAAAATTAATTGCAGTTTACTTCAATTGCTTGTCAATTCAAAAGCCCAGCTCAGTGGCTACCCCCAAA